TGTTAGCATCCTCTTCCCACGTTAAACCTGTATTATTTGACATATTTGTATATGAATTATTAAAATATTTTTGTATTTTGTAAAATATTTCTTCTGTAAATTTTTTTGTACAAAAGATCGTCAGAAAGAGTTCAAAAATCTATCCCAATTTTTTTTTTTTTTTTTTTTTTTCGTCAGAAGTCATCAACATACAGTTACGAAAATTAAAAAAAGCACAATAAAACAGATTATTTTTTATTTAAATATGAGAAATTTTTTCTCAAAATTAATAATAAATAATTATCTAAGATTTTTTTATTAAATAAAAAAACAAAAGGCATAATTACAATCATTTGGATTTTAGTTTTATAATTTCAATATTTGGCATTTCTTAATACAATGTATAATTATTTATTAGTATTATTTATAACAATACAGTTATAACTCCTGATTTAGAACGCCCTGTCAAGGACTAAGGCAAATATAAAATAAGCAAATAAAATTAAACTACAAGTAAATTATTTGTGTATTTAATCATCTTTTCTTTATAATTTGAAATACTTCATAACCTTCTATTGAAAACAAATCCTCTGTATCTCTTATCCCTCTTTCATAGTATTTTTGTTCACACTGACAATAATTATATTCTTCTGAACTATCACTACTGTTCACAAAAATATCAATATCACGACCAAATGCAGGCCCGACATTATCACCATAACAAACTGCATAATTCACATCCATTACATTACTTAAGATTGAATCTTGGAAATTATTCTTATTTTTAAAAGAAAATATAAAACTATCTCTGGTTTTAACTTATAAACCACTCGATTTCCATTCTAAAGGATTATATCCTCCGATAATTTCTTCCGTTCCTTTTACTTTAATAAATGTTATAGTACAAAGTTTATTATCACATAATTCATGAAATTTTTTAGGAGTGAATCCATCTCTGCTTCCCCTTAAGAGTAATTTAAATTTATATGGCAAATATAATTCTCTTGCATAAGCATATTTGCTTTTAATATCAATTTTATCGATCCATCTTGAAATTAAAGAAGCAATATTTAAACAGACAATTTTCAAATCAATAATTCCATCAATATTTCTAGATCGAGGAAGTAAAATATTATCATTTGGTTCGCTATTAGGATTTAAATATGACTCTAATAACTCTTCATAAAGTTGATGTTTTATAAATTTTTTATAAGGTCGAACTTTTTGAAAGAAATCTTCCGAAGATAAACTAAAAAACCTAATTAAAGGTAAACAATGTTGCAAAGTATTTTTCATCATTTTAAAAATCGTCATCTGACCAAGTTGTAGGATCTAGAAGAAGTGTAGGATTTTTTTCAAGTCCCCATTTTAATACATGATCCCAAATTTCAATTTCTTTCATTTGTAAATCATCTCTTTTAATAAGCGAAACCAAGGATTTTTCTGAAAGCGAGGTAAAATCAAGTGATTTAAATATTTTTTCAGGAAATTTAGTCATGAAATTTGTACAATATTGTTGAAGTTCTAATAAAGAATTGATTGAAAAGCTGCTTGGTGAATAAGTTCAAAATATTGTTCCATCCACTCAGATTTATTTTCAATTAAATATGTTTGCAAATAATCAATTAGTTCTTGAAGTAGTAATTGATCAGCAGCGACCAAAACTTTTAAGATTTCTGAAGGTTCTTGTTCATTTAACAAAATGAAACCACCATAAATGTATCTAAATAATAAAAAATATAATAAATATAAAATATTTAAAATACTAATAAAAATTAGTTAATATAACTTACTTTAAAATAATTTGAAAGGTGTCTGGTGAGATATTCGATAACTTAATATGAGTCAAGACACCATCATCATTTTTTTTGTTGGATAATGTCCGTCGTAAAAATGGAGAACGGTAATACAGAATAATCATATGTGCACGAAATATTTTTACTTTGGATCGTTACCAACTTCAATAGTAATATCATAATATTCATCATCTTTCAAAATCTCGACTTAAATTTGGAAAACATTAAAACATTGCCTAGACATATTTTTCTATTAGATTTGCAACGTGAAAGAGTAAGAGAGTAAATAAAAAAATTTTTTTTGCGAATCCATTAAATGTCGGATGTCGATCAGTTTACAAATTCCGTGACAACTTACCATTTTAAATATTTTGTCCTATCATTACTGTTAAGTAATGCACAGTATATATCTAATTGAAAAATTTTTTAACTCAAGTTCTAATTCTAAAAAATTAAAAGAACTTATTTTCATTTTACTTTATAAACAGATTTGTGATGTTCTATTAAAATCGATTTTGGTATGTCAAAATATCCTGTGACATTCAATCTATCCATAATCATTTTGCAACATTGTATAAGCAAATTTGCTGCTGATATGTAAATTTCACTATTATTAATCATTTCAAGTAAGTTAAACCTGGTTGTTAATTAAAAAAAAATTTTTTTTAAATTGTTTTGATAATTATATTTCGATTTTCGATCGTGAAACAATTTGTACGTGTACGTATTTTCTTCATTTGCAAATAAAATTTTTAAAATTAATACAAACCTTTGCGGCGTAAAAGTTTATAATTACTGAAGATAATCATCCGAATCATCATATGTAACTTGGAAACAAATCCGGCTACCATTTTTTTTATGGATCGTTCTGACGTACGCCATTTACACCTGATGCTTAGTTTAATATAAATTTTTTATATTCTTTCAATTATTCCTGCTCTTTCGAAAGTATATCTTATATTTATTTTTCTGTATTTTCAACAGCTTCAACTATAAAATAATTGTACAAAATTTTAATGCTTGGAGGGTACTGGATGTATACTATATTTCGGTAAATATTTTATTATAGAAATAATATATTATTAAGGTTTGACTTAAATTATAAGCTAAGCTAAAAAGAATTTAGTTATTTGCTGTTCTAACGTTAAATTTATTATTGTTATCTAATAAAAAAATAACCGCGTGAAATTGTCACACTAGTAATTTTCTGAAATTCTTTAAAATATAAATTGTTATAAAGTTGTAAATACTGTATCACTCTTCATAAAAACTATGATTCACTAACACAATTGCCATTTATGTACTGTACATATATATATTTATTTACTTCATATATAATAATAAATTATATTTAGAGCACTCAATATGTACGAACTTAAGTGTAACTTTTAAAGGGTCACAAGCTCAAGCATTACGTAACATTCAGTTAGTATTTGAAGAATAATCGCGATCATGATATCAACGTAAGAAAGAGAGTTAAAATTTATAATTCCAAATTCCTCTCTATCTGTGGAACTTCAACAGAAACTTTATATCAGAGATAATAATCTGATATATTGAGTGTGAATTCGGTTGCTCTAAATATCCAAAATATTTTTAAAAGATAATCGGTAATAAGAAGTGTTTAAAAAGGAAACCATTAATAAATTATCATATTACTAAATATTATTTGTTTATTCAAGTGTATATTTCTATAGACAAAAATTAATCATTATAGTATTAATGATAATTAATATAAGGCTTTGTAAATACCTTAATTCATATGTAAGGTATGACGCTACAGCCTTTGGTAATTTTTGTAATTTAAGATTTGAATATTAGTTAGCTAAATGTCAGCAGTATATTCTCAAATTCAATGATATGTCAAAAAATTTGCGAAATAGTAAAATTTCCGTCATGCTATCATGCTTTAAAATTTTAAATTATTTACATCTTGGTTCGATGACACCATAAGACAATTAAGAGATCCACTTTTATCACTTATATGATATATCACATGACCTTAAAATCATATGATTTTATATTTAAACCAATCATAATTAAGTACTATTTAAATTTCCATTATGTTATGCTAAAAATATCATGTGGCCAAAGCCGAATTAAAATCATATTTTTAAAAGCTTATAATTTTTGATACAAATAATCCGATTTTAATTATCTCAGCGTAGTTAAATTGAGTTTATTAAGAAGTATTAATTAGCGTTGAATTTTTTTTTTAAAAAAATAATTTCTCAATATTTTTTTTATTAACATTTAGATCCTTTATTGGATGTCTAATGGTGTCATCCACTATTCAAAAATTATAATATAATTCATTGATCCGGAACGAAGCGAAGGACCATATCATACTACACGTGTCGGTTTCACAAATACCCTGTTGTCCGATTAAGTAATTACGTGTGTCGGTAAGTAATTTTATTAAATTTTCGCTCCAGATTTAACAACGGTCTCCGTTCCCTAGTATTACCATATTTATATGATGAACTTTAACAAAACTATTCGCTATATACACTTTTATTAAATATTATAATAATGTTTAAATTATAAATTTATTCATATTCTATAATAAATATATTGTACTATACTAATAAATAAATAAAATGAATTATTTAAATTACAAACTAAGAAAATTTGCAAATATTGTTAAATAATCCTAATAAATAAAATAATAAAAAATTCACAAACAAAAATAATAATGGTATTACCCTAATTTAATAAATAGTTAAGATCCATCTTACTCGTAGCATAAGTTCTTTGCATATATTGATATCCAATTTCATGATATTGTATTTCTAAAATTTAAAAAAAATTATATTAATAATGATAAAAAGTAAATATGAAAATTTCAGTAATAATTACCTTCATTATTATTTGAATTGACTTTTTTATTAGAATTATAAGCTAAATCTTTTTCATCATCTATTTTATAGTAATAAATAAGAAAATTGATTATTTGATTTACAGCATTGTAATTAATTATTATAAAAAACGATCTATTACCATTAAAATAACTTCTTTTATTAGATTTTTTTTCTACTTTTTAAAAATAAATGGATTACAAATTAGAATTATAGAACAAAATATATATAATATATTAATTGATAATCTTACCAATAATCATGCCATCTTGTAAATCAAAATCAAATTGTATACTATGGTAAGCTATAAAAATAAAGTTAATATAGTAAAAAAAAAATAACAATATTAATATATGTTAAACATATTTTAATAATTACCATCTTGTTCTACTAAATATATAAAATGAATAATTAATATTATATTGTATAAACTAAAACTGCACAATAAAGAATTCTTACCTTTTGTTGCATTTCTTGGTTCAGGTAAATTTTCAAAATTATAAACTCTACTACTACTAATATTCCAATTACTAGAACTTACACTAAACCTTCCAAAAAAGGAACTATTAGTAGAGCTAGAATTTACATTAAATCTTGTATTTAATTGAGAGTTATTAATATTTATGAATTTACTAATTATTCTTTGTTCATTTTCATTTTGAGTATATACTCTAAGGAGATCTCTAAATTTATTTAAAAGAGTGCCAATATCAGGTCTTTTCATAGGATTAGCATCCCAACATTGTTCCATTAATTCTTTATATTCTAAAGGAGTGCCCGGTATTATTTTTGGTCTCATTCCATTTATTATTTTTATTGCAAGATCATAATCATGTTTTTTAATAAAAGGTGGTTGTCCAGATGAGATTTCCCACATAAGCATGCCAATACTATAAATATCAGATGCAAAAGAATATTTCTTTTTAACAATAACTTCAGGTGCTATATATGAAAGATTACCATATATACTATCTAATGGTATATTAGCTGGTCCACAAAATCCAAGATCACTGACATAAAATCCTTGATTAATTTGGCTAAATAATACATTTCCAGAATGTAAATCTCTGTGAATTGCGTTCTCTTGGTGAATCATTGAAACTGTAGTAACTATATCAGAAATAATTTGAATTCCTTCTTTCCATGTAAGTTTATTATGATTTTGTTGCAAATATTCTCTTAGATTTATATTCATAGGATACATTACAAGCATATAATTTCCATTAAATGGATTTTGAGTTAAACCATAACATCGTACTATAAGGGAAGTTTTGCTACTTATGTGTAAATGAGATATACCCTACAAAAATTAAAAGAAATTGCAATTAAATTTTTTAAAAAAAATTTAAAATACTTTTAATTACTATATATACCTCATCAAACCAACTTTTATTGGCACTTTCAACATTTTCTAATTTTTTGAGCACTACATTTATCCGTCCACATCTTTTTAATTGTTTTTCTTTTGGATCCCATTCTTCATAATTTCCATCAATCCAAAGTGCTGTATAAATTTCAGAACATCCACCTTTAGTTAAGTATTTAATATTTTGCAAATTATTATAAGGAATCCATTCTACTATCATAGCTGGACTAAGTGCTTTTATTTGACATTGTTGTATTAAATTATCAATATCATTATTTCCAGATGTCCAGTTTGAAAAATTTTCTTTTAAATAATTTCGAATACAATGTTCACAATATAATATAGCTAAACATTCATCATGACAATTTTCACAAATTCTTTTTGTTCCTTGATTATTAACAATTTTAAAATAATCAAGAGCGTTATTTAAGTCTTTTACTGCATATGATTTTTCATCCTTTGTAAGAGATTTTTCAGCAAGAACAGTTTGTATTTTAAATACATGTTGTTTTTCTATATTATTTTGAATATTAAAGTCTAATAATGCATATGCTCTATTAATTGCAACTTTAACTATTTCTTTTCGAATAGTAGCCATAATACTGTGATAAAATTTTTAAAATTTTAAAATACAATTTTAAAACATGAAACGATGAACGGAAATAAAATTCCCGAGTTTCACAAAATTTACGTAAACATTCGATCTTCTTAATCACGTGAATTAATAATATAACATTTTGAGAAAAAAATTTTTTATATATAAATAAAAAAATCTTAAATAGGTGTATATAATAAATTGAATCGTTATGGTTACTTCCTAATTCATTCCTTTTCGAATAGTAGCCATAATACTGTGAATAAAATTTTTAAAATTTTAAAATACAATTTTAAAACATGAAACGATGAACGGAAATAAAATTCCCGAGTTTCACAAAATTTACGTAAACAGTCGATCTTCTTAATCACGTGAATTAATAATATAACATTTTGAGAAAAAAATTTTTTATATATAAATAAAAAAATCTTAAATAGGTGTATATAATAAATTGAATCGTTATGGTTACTTCCTAATTCATTCCTTTTCGAATAGTAGCCATAATACTGTGAATAAAATTTTTAAAATTTTAAAATACAATTTTAAAACATGAAACGATGAACGGAAATAAAATTCCCGAGTTTCACAAAATTTACGTAAACAGTCGATCTTCTTAATCACGTGAATTAATAATATAACATTTTGAGAAAAAAATTTTTTATATATAAATAAAAAAATCTTAAATAGGTGTATATAATAAATTGAATCGTTATGGTTACTTCCTAATTCATTCCTTTTCGAATAGTAGCCATAATACTGTGAATAAAATTTTTAAAATTTTAAAATACAATTTTAAAACATGAAACGATGAACGGAAATAAAATTCCCGAGTTTCACAAAATTTACGTAAACAGTCGATCTTCTTAATCACGTGAATTAAAAAATTGTGTAACCGAAAATTAAGAAGAAATTTTTTTAAAATATAACATTTTGAGAAAAAAATTTTTTATATATAAATAAAAAAAATCTTAAATAGGTGTATATAATAAATTGAATCGTTATGTTTACTTCATAATTCATTCTTGTTCGTTCTTGCATAGTTTTATACTTACCAGTTACTGTATTTGTATTTCTCTGATTTGGTAGTTGGTACAATTCACTAATTTTTGTTTATTAATATTGTCTTAAAAAGAAAAATGTTGTTTATAGATACTATTCGAAATCAACTAAATTTTTGTCCATTTTTTCCCTTTTCCGGGTCGCGTTTAACTCACCGACAATTACTTCACCGACAAACATTTGTTGGTGAAATAACCCTTTCGGTGAAACGTTTGTTGGTGATTTTTTTTGGGGTTTTCCAATAACTAGTAATCACATCCGTTAGATATAGTCGTCCAGATATTTAAAAGGTTCGCATAAATTTAATAATATATTTTATTTAGGATCATTTTAACGCTCACCAGAGGTGAAATTCACCGGAGGTGATTTTTTACCGGATCATGTGATTTATAATTATTTTTATTAAAACTCGTTTTTGAACAAAGTACAATTTTTAATTTTTAACATCTCTAATTATAACACAATGCATATATACAGTATAATACATTATTGGTACTAATTGTTAAATAATCAAATGATTTAATAAACTTGAATAGATAATGAAGGAGTGAAGGTAGTGATAAAAGAATGAAAATAATAATGAAAATGTAAAAAGAGTGAAAATGATGATAAGAGAGCAAAAGTAATGATAAAGAAACGAAAATATGATGAAAACATGTAAAGAAACAAAATAGATAATGAGGGAGTGAAAATGATGATGAAAACACGTAAAGAAACAAAATAGATGATGAGAGAGTAAAAATGATGATGAAAAAACGTAAAGGGACAAAATAGATGATGAG